GGCCAGGAGGTGACCTACAGCCTCTAGACAATTATTCATTTCAGTTCAGATAGAGAAAAGAAACTCCTAACCATTTTAAAAATTTATGCCATGAAACATTCAAGCTGCATTTTCTGCAGAACCTCCTTTTTTATCAAGCTCTTCCAAAGCTGCCAGTAATTTTGGATCATCGTAGTCCTTTATAAGAAAGGTAGGATTCGCTTTCATAAGTACATCTTCTGGATTTCTGGTGGTTAAACCCACAACAGGCATGCCTGCTGCAACTCCAGCCCTTATCCCAGACACAGAATCCTAATCGAGAAAAATCAAAATCAGATTCCATGAAGAGTGCTTAGTCTTAAGTTCATCATGCAAAGAGATAGCAGTTTAAAGTAGAAACACCTCAAATATAAATGTGTGATCCTTTGACACCTTGAGCACTTCAAGTGCCTTCAAGTAGGGGTCTGGGTGAGGCTTGGCATGCTCGCATTCGCCTCCTATAACAACAGTATCAAAAAATTCTGAAAGGCCAAGTTTGTCGATCATCAGTTCAGCAGTTGGTTTAGGAGCATTGGTAACAGCTGCCCGCTTCAATCCATGATCTTCAATCCATTTCTTCACTTTATACAAGCCATTTATAGCCTCCAACTTCTCTGAGGCCAATCTGTTTGTTGATCCAAAAGATTACACAAGAGGAACTTCAGAAAGCTTGCAAAATATAGTTCTTTCTTTAAACAAAAAATTCTACACTCATTTTACCTCTGAAACATTGCTTCCTTATCCTCAATGAACTTCAAGCCTCTTGGAATATCTGTGGGGAAGAGAAACTCGGCAATATGATCATTGTGCGTCCCAGCAATATTTTGGATAAAGAATTCCTCTGTAATTGGGACGCCATTATTAAAACCAATCTGTTATTCATCCCCAGCATTAGTAAAGAGTAACATTTTCAAGGAAAATTATTGATAGACACTAGGTTTAACACCCTTTTTTATATTTATTTTATTTCAACAATTAAAAGTAAAGAATTCTTCTGTAATTGGGATGGAATTATTAATACCAATCTTTTAATCACCCTAAGGCCCCAACATTAATAGATCTCTATATAATTACCCTTACATTTTAAATTTAATTTAGGACATGACCTTCAAATTAAAGAAGAACAAGAGCATGCTTGCGTTCTTAACACATTCACCATTTTTGTGAGAGTATCTATGTCTGCATGCAATTCTTTATGGTGAAGGAGGATAAATCAAATTAAAAAGAAATGACAGTTGAAAGGCCCCCTGAGTTGTTGCTTGAAATTACCTCTTGAAGCAATACTTGAAAGGCATAAAGGTGAAGAGGGTCCGAATCACACAAAGTTCCATCAACGTCAAAAAACACTGCTTCCAGAGGAGCAAGATCGGAAAGAGATTTCTTCCTGCATTACCGAAACAAAGACAGCAGATCAACAACATAGATAAAGATCCAAAATTTTATATCCGTAAAAAGTAAAATATCACAATTCATAAATCTTTTGTCATGAAGGTGGTCAACCCAGCAGCTTCAAGATTAATAAAGTGAGATTTCCTATAAATGAGAACACAATATTTCAAAAATTCTTTAATAAAAGATATGATATTTCTTCTTTACCAATCAAAACTATTACTTTTTTTAAAAAATTTTAATTAAAGACATACTGTGTATATCTACTTAATCTTTCTTTAGGAAACTTGAAAGAGTCATATATTTGATTAGAAATTTTTGAAAGCTGGTAGCTTGATTAATAAGAAAAAAAAAAAAAGCTCATATCCCAATTAGAAAAGTTGTAAAAGGTTGTGTCCTTATTTGTACAAATTATCTTAATAAAGCATTAAGACCAAGACCAACCATCCATTAAGCTTCACTTGATAAATCACATATGCTAAAATTATTTTCTTATTAGGTTAAATATTAATTTTGATCCTTCAATTTTAGAGGTTTGCACAATTTTTTCTCTCAACTTTTTTATTTTTTTTATCCCTTAACTATAAAACTATATTTTTTTTAATTATTTTATTATTTAGTTCATCAACTTATAATATATGGCTATTTTTATTCTTTAATTTTTAAATTAAAAGATAAAAAATATACATATATAAATAAATTGAACGAATTAATTGATAATAAAATAATTTAAAAAATGTATTTTTTATAATTAATAGACAAAAGAATATTTAAAAAAATTAAAAATAAAAACTATATAATACGTAAAATCAATAAATCAAAACTAATATTTAACCTTTTGGTGTAATTTCTCTTCACTCAGAAATCATCTTTAAGGAAAAATAACTTGCATATGAATCGCTAACGTCATTCAGTTGATGTGATTGACGTTGCAATTCAGGTACTAATAATCCCATAAAATAACAAAGCCATCGATTTAAGCTTAGAGCAACAACAACGTAATTAGTGCAAACTGAAACAATAAACTCACTCAGCATTATGCAATAATTCAAGTCAAGATTTCCCCGGACAACAAAAACACTGCCTTTTCCATTAAAAATCAACATGATATTCAATAAAATTTTGATGATTAGGTACCAGAAAAAAAAAAAGAAAAGAAAAAAGAAAAAAGAACAACCCATGTTGAATCGAATGCCAATTTCCCCAAGAATATCGAATCAAAGGCTTAAAAAAAAAATAAATAAATAAATCACGTACCCATCTGCAGAACTCCCACCAGAAGCAGTCATGGTAGTTAGTGATGGAGAAATCTGGCTTCTAAGCAATGCGGTTTGAGTTGGAGAATAGAGATGGAGATGGGTATAAAATTAAAAATGAGAGAGGGAATTGGAATCTGCCGGGTTCCCCGAATGTTCAAATCGGACTCAAATGGGGGCTGTGACAGATGCACTTTAAAAAATAGGCAAAATAAACCCTTTTTAAGTCTTTTAATTTATTTTAAAATAATATTTAAACTCTTGAATTAAAAACGAAGTAAATAAGTATTTTAACTTTACTAACGATACAAATAAATTTTTTTCAATCATGAGTGTTCATACTTTTAAAGTAATATTAAATTGTTTTTTTAAATTGTTTTCTAAATTATTAAATAAAATAAATTATTTATTATTTAATATATAATTTCATTACACAAAAAATTAATGTGCGATAACTTTATATTTTAAATAATAAATAGTTTATTTTAACCAACGATTAAAAAAAAATTTGTTTCTTTAATTCTTATTAGACAAATCTGTCCTTAATCACCTATTTAGGAAGATTTAGGGCGTGGGCAATTGGAATATGCCAATGGAATAAGAGCTTGTTGTCACGGAGCACAAGTTTAGGGCCCGAGTCGGAGGTGTCGATGCTAGGATCATGGCATGGGGTTGTGGTCACGACGTCCTTGCGCATGCAGGAGTGGTTTGGAACGTTCTGGAGACGTGCCTTGTGAGTGGATGAAGTGTTGACACGTGGAAAATAATGCAGGTTCATGGTGTCGACACCTTGGGGCGATCTAGAGCCGCTAGAATTCTCTAAAAGTGGCAGGTGCGCGAGATTGGTGTTCAAACAGTGGTCTGGGATGGCTTCTTAGGCTGAGCCCGTGTATAGAACTTTCTAGAACCTTGTACATAATTCTAGAGCAGATGGATCTAAAATAAATAAAATTTTGTAAAATACTGTATATAATTCTAGAGTCAATGAATCTAGAATAATGTAAGTTAGATTAGAAGGGAGAAGTGAAGAAACTTTTAGCAATTATACATATAAAGAAGTTTTGAGTGAGTGAAGGGCTAGAGCGTTGCTAAGTGAGAGTGAGTGTATCAAAAGGCTATGTACTTCAAGCTCCTATAATAATACTTCCTTGCAATCTAATAAAATCATTTTTTCTCCCAAGCTCTTACTTTTTATCTTTTACATGTTGCAACCCTCTTAGTCCAGTGGGTGGGTTACGCCAAGCTTTGGGGAAGGCTAACTTAATTTGAGTTTAGGGGGTTATTTTCAAGTTAAGTGTCATGTGGTGATTAACTAAAGTCTTATTTCGTGATAAGTGCAACCAATGCGTCTTTTGTCCCTCTTCTCCCTTTTTTTTTTTCACTTTCTACAGTTCCACTTCCACATGACCACTGCACAGCCTATTGATGTAGGTTATATGTTCATCCTAGAATTTATAGTTATTGGAAAATGACAATATTTTCTAAACATTTATTATTTTTTTAACTAAAATGATGCATATTAATATTGATTTTTAAAGAAATTAAAAATTAAAAATTAAAAAATATTATCTATTTAATTAAAATTTAATTTAAAATTTAAAAATTCAATTTGTTAAATATTGATACTTACATTTAGAAATTAATTATATTTTGAATATAAAATATC